TCGTCCACCCCATTCTCCTCTTCCTCCTCCTCTCTATATTCATCTTCTTGCTTTCTATTTTCCTCATCCCCTTCTTCTGCAGCCTCATCTTCCAAAGACTTCTTCTTCCCTCCCTTCTCTCTCTCCTCCCTTTCCGGCAGTTTCTCTCTTTCCTCAAGCTTAGCCTCTTCATTCGCTACAGTTGCCATCTTTCCGTCCTTGTTCCCAAGTCGTAAGTGTTCTCGCCGGCCAGATCTGAAACGTTGGCCGTACTGACGTCGTATTCTGAGTGCGGCCAAGTTCGAGACAGTTGTCGAATAGCCGTCTCCAACTCGGCTTACGTCAAATGAACGGACTTTAGGAGGGCAACCGTTCCCCAGTTGTCGGGTGGCTGGGCCGGCATCCAGGCCTACACACCCTTGGGTGTCCGTGTGTCGTCTTTCGGGTTCGTTCGGTTTGCTCAAATACCTGTGGTCACATCGAAGAACCTGGGATTGTGATGGCTTAGACCTACCTCCAAGCCGAGTCTCGTGGGGTAGAGAAGTAGCAGAAAGGCCAGCCAATAGGTCAACTGGAGCCACAAATCGGCTGTCGGGGTCCATTTGCTCTGAGATTCGGGAGGAGTGGGATACCGGCAAAACTAGACTGGCATCGGCTGCAAGAAGGCGAAGAATCCAGATCCGGCAGATACATAAAAAGAGGAAATTTATCCTTGAACCTCAAAGTACTAGTTAGGAATATAATAAATGAAGGGATGACTGAAGAAGAGCCCTCTTTTAATGGTACACTGGTATCATGCATCACCAGCCTTCCTTATTATTCAACATGAGTTAACATTATCTGTACTCTACAAAGAAAATACCATCAGACTTAGACATAGAATCACAACCGTAGTCACTTTAGACCACATAGGGTGATGAGATATGTTCATCCTATTTCGTTCAATGTGATAAAGGGACTGCTAGTTAAATTTTCCCACTATGACACGAGTGGACATGACGTTTCCACTAAATTGCACATACTTTTGCTTTTCCACAAGGTATTATCATCCAGTCAGAAGTGGACTGCGGTTTCTACCTCTCCTATACCTCACGAGTAGCCTCAGCGGGACTCGAACCGTAATATTTCAGCGTATAATCTTGCCATGTTGACCCCTCCACAACAACTACTAGTCCTTTTATCACCCTTAAGAAAATAGGCTGAATACACCTCATATATATGATCTACTAGTAGTCTAGAAAACCTACTTAGTAACGAAAAATAGGTTGATGATAGACAGTTGGTTGAAGTTTTACTCAATGGAACAAGTTAGCTTTATATTCCCAATGAATTTCACCTAGCCATGCTTCCCAATACGTATTCTCATACAGTTGCAAGAAGATTGGTAGCACGATTGCATAGTGTAGATCTGTAGACATGTAACTCCTACTTCTATTCGAAATTAGCGGGTTTCGAAACTATGTGTGTATGCTAGTTAAGAGTTGCATTTTCGTCCGCTATAGTGACATGGAATAGGCCTTGCTCGCCTTGAAAGTCACATTCATCCCAATGCAGGAACAACGTTAGCACATGACATGCGATGCTGGTTCGATTCTCGAGAGGTGATGAGCCTTAGTCGAGGTCTAAACTACAATGCCCCCTGAATAATACTATATTTTGGTAGGAAGGACTAAGGGAAATTCAATGTTATCGTGGGGCCTACTCATGTTATTGTAGAAAAATTCAACTATATGCGACCTGGGGTAAGCACATTAATAATCAAGGTATACTCACCCACTATTTATAAATCAAAGGAGGGAACAACTTTATTGTAAAATGCTATAAAATTGTTTCTTCTCATCCTTCCTCTTCTGGTGAGATCGACCTACGAATCTCTTCTTCATGCACTTGCATACGAAATGTAAGTCTTCCCAACAATGTTATCTCATGAGACTCATCGAAACCCAGTTTATCTTCGTAT